CTGGAAGGATGGCAAAAGCATCAGGGAAGTGAGAAGAGTTCGGAGAGAAAATCTTCAGGTTACATATGCTCATAGATCTCTCTCCTCAACATCCAAGCTCCAGTGATCTGAACCAGATCTGAACTCTAGAGAAGGCACTGATGTGGGAAATCTGGTAAAAACCCTTGAAGGGGGCAAGCTGCGTAGCACGGATTGGGTAAGGGTCAGAAGGTGCTGCCAGTGGGCATCATCACAGGCTGTTCTGGGCTATGTACCCAGCTTCCCCTCCTTGAGCTGGGCACATCAATCTGCTCAGGAAGGTAACTTCCTGAGTTCTCAGGGGAAAGATGCTGGATAAAACCTGGGTCTAGATCTGAGTGACAGCCACCTCATAGTCTCGTTTTCGCCCCCGTCTCCCCTCAACCCTACACCCCCAGGCTGTGGCAGGGCTGTTTGTTACACTGGACTGCTCAGCCTCCATATTAGACACCTGTCCCCATTGAGCTTCCTCATCTCACCCCACAGGGCAGACCCCAGGGTGTTTTTCCCAGTGCTTTCCCCAGGCCAGTTTTAGACTCTGCAATCAGGTCTCCTAGGAGATGTTTCAGAGTTTGGGGGAATTTCATACTTTCATTTTGCTTTTGTGGGGTTTTTGTTTATTTGTTGTTTTTTGTTTTGTTTTTTTTACTTATCCAGATAAATGAACTCATCATGGGCTCCGAGTGGCCAGGTGGTCTGGATTGCTTCTCAGTGACCCTTCCTGCGGGGCTGGCTTATATTATAGGGACCTCTGATCAGAGACCAGAGAATGGTCATTGGCTGGGAAGTTGGAATGCTCAGGGGCAGTCCAGAACCATGAACCTTCAGGCAGGTCACTTTGCCATGTCTCACCTTAAAGTGTCAGAAGAGAGAGTAGCAAGTCTCAGGGGGATATTTACACCGTCCTGATTAAGAGCAGGAGATGACCTCATTGTGCAGCCCACCTGAGATTGTCTGCAGAGGGTTTTTTCATGGACACATGGTCCCCCTTGCTCTCAGGGAGGGGCTCCACATAGGCAAAGGGAAGGAAGTAGTGTTTTGTGACAAGAGATGAATGTGTGGGGCAGAAACTGTACTCATCCGATGCTCCTGTTGCCTATGTTTGTCTCTGTGCCAAATGGAATGTTCCACGGCTAATGGGCTATTGATCAACACAAGCATGAAGATTGGTTAGGATCCTTGTCCAGTGCAATGTGAAGGCTTTGTATAATGACTCTGTAAATACAAAGCATTATCACTGGTGTATCTTTTGTTGTTGATCTGTCAGAGTCTGTTCTTTATAGCTGACGAAGCAGCTTGGTGTACCAAGTTAATAACTGCAAACCTCAGGTTAGTCACCTTGCCCCTTAGGCTTTAAAATAATTTCCTGTGACAGCTGTAACAAAGCAGCTATAACAAATTACCACAAACTTGATGGCTTAACTATAAGATTTTGCGGATATTCTTTATCAAATTGAGAAATTCCCCTTCCCCCATTTCTAGCTGGTCAAGAGTTTTTCTCATGAAAAACTGTTCAATTTTGTCAAATGTTTTTCTGCATCCATTAATGTGATCATGTGAGTCTTCTTCTTTAGCCTGTTGATATGATGGATTAATTGATTTTCACATGTTAAACCAATCTTACATACCTGGGATAAATCCTATTTTGTTGGAAGTATTCAGTTTTTCCTTTTTCCTCCTTGTAGTTCTAACAGTTTTTGCCTCATTATTTGAGCTCTGTTGTTAGGTGCATACATGTTAAGGATTATTATGCCTTTGTGGAGACTTCTTTGTCATTATGTAATACTCCTCTTTATTCCTCAGAGCTTTCCTTACTTTGATGGCTTGCCTGTCAGAAATTAATGTAGCCACATCTGCTTTCTTTTGATTAGTATTAATTTGTTTTCTTTTTCCATTCATTTACTTTTAATTTTTTTATGTGTTTATATTTAAAGTGGGTTTCTTGAAGATGTATAGTTAAGTCTTGCTTTGGGATGCACTCTGACAGTCTCTGCCTCTTAATTGGTTCATTTAGACTATTAACATTCAAAGTGTTTACTGATATTGTTGGGGTAATATCTACCATGTCTGTTACTATTTTCTATTTGTTAACCTCATTCTTTGTTGTGCTTTTTGTCTTCCACTCTTTTTCTGCCTTTTATGGTTGTGATTGAGCTTTTGTAAGATTTCATTTTTTCTTCTTTCTTAGTATGTCAGTTATATTTCTTTTTTTTAACTTCTTTTAGTGATTGCCCTAGATTTTGCAATGTACATTTATAATTAATCCAAGCACAGTTTTAAATAACACTATACTGCTTCATGGGTAGTATGAGTACTTAATAGTAGCAAAATAATCCCAATTCCTCCCTCCTGTGACTTGTGCATCATTGCTGTCATTCGTTTCAGTTATATATAAGCATATATGCACAAGACATATGCAGAAGCATACATAATTTGGTATATTGTTTATATATTGTTGCTATTATTATTTTGAACAATGTGTTATCTGTTAGATCAATTAAGAATAAAAGGAATAAAAGCTTCTATTTTTACCTTCACTTATTCCATCTCTGATGCTCTTCCTCAGTAGATTTGAGTTTCTGACCTTTATTATTTTCCTTCTCTCTAAAGAAATTCTTGTAACATTCCTTACAAGTCAGAACTATGGCAACAAATTCCCTCCATCTTTGTTTGTCTGAACATATCTTTATTTCTTCTTCACTTTTGAAGAATAATTTCACAAGATACAGAAAATTATAAGTTGGTGGTTATAATTATATAATTATAAGTTTTTTTCCTCAACACTTTAAAGTGTTTTATTTCATTCTCAATTGTTGCTTGCAGTTAATTCTTTTTAAGTTAAAGAAATGTGAAGATATATAGAAGACATATATTGTGACACTAGTGACTTTATGCTGAATAAAATAAAAGTTTTTAAATACTAGAAAATATTTCCTCAACTTTTTATGCATGTCAAAATTAAAACTACAGTCATGACACACTTTTTTTTTCTTCCATTTATTTTTATTAGTTGGAGGCTAATTACTTNACCACAAGAAAGACCCTGCATGGCACAACTAAGACCTGACGCAGCCAAATAAATACATATTCTAAAAACCCAATGAATCAAAACTCTGATTTATATAGTTTTCCTCTTTTCATGGTATATATGATGTCATTGAATGCAAAGCTGGGGAAAGCCGTGTAGCAGCACCCATGATCAGATATTTTGTTCCCATGACAGAGGTACAATAGATGTAATGTTCTCAAGAGCATAGAGAATAGTAAAATGTAAAATAAAGAAGTAATGAGTTTTGAGTTTTCAATTCCCTCAGTTTTGGATGTAATTTATTTAATTATAAATGTATATAATTCCATTTTTAATAACATAATATTTATCAATAACCAGCTCACAAGATTTCTGAAACTTTAACAACCGGCTCTGGAGAGTTGATATGTGCTGACTTCAGCACATCGCTGGGTAGTGTTGTAGGTAGGATAGATGGGTGTCAGGTGTTTATGTATGTGGAGAGGGGAATGATGAGAATAAAGAGCACTTTCACTATGTCACCAGCTCTTATTACCCTTATCCTCTTAGGGAGGCCCATTGGAGAGTGACTTTGACCTGTCATGTGGACTTTAAAAATACCTGTTACAGGGGTTTCCCTGATGGTCCAGGAAGAACCCACCGTGTGGTGCAGGGGAACGAGTATGGGGAGATCTCACACGCCAGGGGGCAACTCAGCCCGTGCCCCGCAGTGACCGCGCCCACACACCTAGAGCACGCGAGCCGCAGCTGCTGAAGCCCGTGCCGTGAGACCAGAGAAGCCGGCACAGCGAGAGGCCTGAGCACCAAGGTTCAGAAGCCCCTGCTCCCGCAGCCAGAGAAAGCCGGAGCCCAGCAGTGGAGACCCAGCGCAGCCCAAAAAGATACCTGTTACAATTGCGTTTCAAAGTTTCCTTGTGAGTCAATAACAGTGTGTTTCATATTTATTGATTAACTTATGGAAAAGCACAAGACTTTCTGTCAGTTTTAGTCCCTCCTCCTCAACAAAAAGATTAGTTGCAAAGAAAAAAAAAAAAGATTAGTTGCAAGATCTAAAATAAGGTAGCCCCTCCAAACACAGCATAGGGCTCATTAAATTCTACTGCAATGTACCCAGCAGGGAAATTGGGTTTCTGCCAGCTGACCCACCCTTGCCCACCTCCATCTCTCTGTGATTTTGGCACCAGGACCTGACTGCATGGAGAGATGTTCTCTGAAATTATGGAACAAATCAGAAGTAAAATGTTCATCATCCTTGCACAGGGGTCATGCTAATCTTCTCTGTATCATTCCAATTTTATTTACAGGGGAACAATGGGGAAACAGATGCAGAGAATAGACATATGGACATGAGGAGAGGGGAGGAGAGGGTGAGATATATGGAAAGACAAACATGGAAACTTACATTACCATATGTAAAATAGATAGGCAACGGGAATTTGCTGTGTGGCTCAGGAAACTCAAACAGGGCCTCTGTATCAACCTAGAGGGGTCGGGTGGGGAGGGAGATGGGAGGGAGGTTCAAAAGGGAGCGGATATTTGTATACCTATGGCTGATTCATTTTGAGGTTTGACAGAAAACAACAAAATTCTGTAAAGCAATTATCTTTCAAAAAAAATAAACTAATTTTTTAAAAAATTCAATCATCCAAGTACAACTTGAACGAACCTATCCAAATTTGGGGTCGCCTGACACAACTACATCTTTTCTTTGCACTGTAATAAGAGTTACCAGACAGAACTGCTCAGAGAGGCTTGACATCCCTTTCCCGGAGACAGCTGAGAAAGGGAGGGGGGTGGGGGGACATCTCTGCCAAGGCTGGGGGTTTGACCGAGGTGATTACACAGATCCCTTCCCGGCTCTTGCAGTGTAAGCACCTGACTCTGACTTCTTGGGAAGAGCAGAGTGACTTCAGGCTAGAGAGAGATGACCAATCCTCGAGGCACAGGCAGAAAAAGCCCCAGTGAGACAGGAAGCCTGCTGGTTTCTGATGCATAAACTAGACAGTAGAGGCAGCACTTGGCTGACACGGAGCTCTCTCTGCTCCGGCTGGTGTCTGAGAGCAGCGGCCCGGCTCTCGCCAGACTCCCTTCCTTATCCTCACTGGCTGATGGATCCCAAGGGGCTCCTCTCCTTGAATGTCCTGCTGTTTTTCTCTCTGATTTTTGAGCTGAGCTGCAGAACAGGTAAGTGTTCGTCTGTTTGAGGGCTTGGGTCCTAGGATTACCTATCAGGAATCAGCTATAGCCACCTAGACAAAGAGAGAGCTCGGCGGCCAGGGGTTGTTATGGCTGTGGGTAGGAGGCAGGGGGGTAGGGGGAGGGCTGTGATCTGCTGCCTCTTCCTCAGAGACTGAGTTCCTCCTGCCTCTGTCGAAGAGGAAGGAAGATTGTGAGTTACTGGGCTCCTGGGTCCGAGGCTCAGCCCCGCCAATCCTAGTTTCCAAGGAAACCAGGAGTTCCAGTCCAAGACGCCGGTCACATTCTAGACCGGCCTCTCTGGGCCAGAGGCTGCAGTCAAAGTCCTGGCTGAGTGGTTGGTTTTGTGTGAGTATCCTTCTGGGAATCAGCTGGGGGGAGGGAGCTCTGGGGGAAAATTGCTCCTACAGCTCTGTCCTGGGTGGGATCTTCACACACACAAGCAGACAAACCAAACATGGTCCACCTACAAGAAAGGGCTGTAGCGGGAAGACAGGGTCAACGTGAAAACCCCAGGCAATGGCTGGGAACCGATAGTGGCCAGTGTGGTTGTACTAGTGGCTGCTTTCCTGGAAGAAGCGTTCCAAGGCAGCAAGAGGGGAAGAGGCCAGGATTTTTGGAGCCCAGGGCTGGTTACAGTTAGTGAGAAATGCAAAGCAGGAATGCTCAGTCAGGGTAGCTCCAGTGTAGAGCCAAAGTGTTTGGAAACGGACTCTGCTACTATCTGTCTGGTTTGCTGGCATTCTCTGTTCAGTAGTTTTGTGAACTACTCTGTTTAGAGATTTGAGAAAAGGTGTTTGGGAAAGAAAAAGCCAAGCAAGGAGCAAACTTTGGGCTCGCTAAGGAGTGGATGAGCATCTCCTTTCTGCTTAAATGCCTTCAGACTTTGTTTAGACTGTGGGAGGCAGCCTAAAGTGGAAGCGGCATTCAGGAAAAAGGGAAAATCCTGAGGCTCTGGATGTTTTGTTCTTGGGGTTTTCAAGACCGCAAATCCATTATGGACTTTTCCAGGAGAAGCCCAGAGATATGCTGAGGTTATCTGAGGGGCTGCACTTGAGATTGGTCCTGTGACAGATTCCCAGATGAATAGCTCTTCCTTCGCCCTGCGTTTCCTCAGAATCAGACAGACTGATGGCTCTTGCTGCCCAGGGTCTCAGAGAGCAGTGATTGAACTCAGGGCTCAGAAAGCCATATGGAACTACTTTAAGCCATAATGAGATGGCTCAGATGATAAACAACCTGCCTGCAATGCAGGAGACCCAGCTTTGATCCCTGGGTCAGGAAGATCTCCTGGAGAAGAAAATGGCGACACGCTCTAGTGTTCTTGCCTGGAAAATTCTATGGACAGTGGAGCCTGGCAAGCTACAGGCCACGGGTTCGCAAAGAGTTAGACATGACTGAGCGACTAACACTTCACTTCAGGAAGAGTCAAACCTTCCTGGGGGTACTCCATTCACATTTCCACCACTTTTGGAATACTTTCTGGTGCCTATCAGGAGTGATGGGTTTGAACAGTGAGCTGAACTTTTCTGTCCCTGTGCTGACTTGCCTTCTGGTCAGCCTGGCCCTGGCATCTCAGGTTCTGCTGACAGCTGCTGCAGGCAAAGCTTTGGAGGTCACTGGTTAGTAAGAAACAGCCCAGCCCTTTAAAGGCGTGTCTATCCAATCAGCAGTGTTCATCTTTCTTACGACTGTCTTCTCTGAAATATGTACAAAAATTTTACTGTTTTTATTTTTAAACATGCACTCTCTTGTGAAACCCCAATAAAACCCAGACAGAAATGCTTTGCAAATGGGACAGGTCAACCATGACAGATTTACCCAACCAAGAAGCCTAATTCTTGTAAAATTAGTACCCACTCCCCTTCCCATCTCTACTCAGCTCACCTTCCAATTCCCAGTCAAAACTGTAAAAATCAAAAAGTCCACACGTCCCCTCCCCCAATGAACTGAATTCTCCATTTCCCCCAGTGATACATTTTTTAATAGGCTTCACTTTTTCAGAGCAGTTTTGGGTTCACAGCAAAATGATTGAAAAGTACAGAAATTTCCCAGGGCCCCCACATACACATAGCCTCTCCCATTATCAATATCTCCCACCAGATTGGTACATCTGTTACAACTGATGAATCTACCCCAGTAGGATTTTTTATTCCTCCATTCAGGTCCTCCCCACTTCCGTCACACACATAAGGGGAGAAGTGAGGGGCAAGTTGGGAGAGTGGTTCTAGACTTTGCCCAATCTTGTGTATTCACTGTCCCATTCTACCCCAATATTTAGATCTAGGCATTTTTATTTCTCAAAAGTTTTTATGCTGTGACATAACGCCACTGACTTCCCTATCTCTGGTGTTAGACTGGAAATCAGAACTTCAGGGCTATTTGGTTTTTTCCATAGATTGACTTTGGACAATCCCATTCAGCAACTATCTGTCAAGGACACACGGTATGGCTGGCACTAGGTGACATGTGGGGTAAAATGAACACCCACAGTCTCTGCCCAGAACTTGGCACAGACTCTGGCACATGAGAGCCCTTCTACAAGTGTTTGTTGAATGATTAATAACAGTATGTACAGAATTTTCTTGCTATATATCCAACACTGTTGTAAGTGCTTTATGTGTATTATTCATTTAATTATACCACCTCTATGAGTTGGTATTGCTACATTATGATTTTATAAAAGAAGAAAAAGAGGCATAGAGTAGTTAGTAATTTCTCCTTAATCACACAGCTTGACTCCAGAGGCCTCAAGGAATGAAACTGGATAAGCTTATGTTTAGGGAGGAGAATCCTAAAATATGTATCCAGAAAAATTAGATTGTGCTGTCTATAATTGAAGCATATGAGTTGATTTCAATTGAATTGAAATTAAACATAGGAATTCACAAAAGGTGAGAGAAGTTGGATAAATCAGAGAAGGAAGTAGAAGGCATATGGAAGTATTTGATCTGGGATTTGGAAAGTAGATAGAAACATCTTTCATCACATGGGGTTTTTTTTTTTTTTTTGTAGTCATCACTTTTATTTTATTTTATTTTATTTTTTCCAAAGTATTTATATTTGACTGCATTGGGTCTTAATTGCATCCTGTGTGATCTTCGTTGCAGCAGGCAGGATCTTTACTTGTGGCATCCAAACTCTTAGTGGGATCTAGTTCCCAGACCAGGCATCGAACCCAGGCTGTATGCACTGGGAGTGCAGAGTCTTAGCCACTGGACCACCAGGGAAGTCCCCATCACGTGGTTTTTTAATTTAATTTTTTGTTAACTAGTTTGTTCATGGAGGAGTATCCTATGTAGGTCTATAAAACTTCAACAGTATAAAAGGGTATTGAAGAGAGATTTGTTTCCCTGTTACAGTGGTGAACAAAACAGACACAGACCCTACTCTTAGATGCTTGTAATTGCATAAGGATAAAAGGCATTGAACAAGAGTTAAAAGTGTGATGGGTGATATGAAAGGAGTGACCCAAAGCGCACTGGTAGCACACAGCAGAGAAACCGTATCACAGCCAGGGGCCAGACGTAGAGGCCTGGAGGACGGCAGTTAGCCAGGCAAATAAAGGGCAGTGGCAGGCTTTCAGGCTGGGGAACGGTAAGCACAAATATTCTAAGATGGAAAGACCCAGCAGCATCAGAGAATGGGACCAGAAGGACACCTGGTAGGACTTCAATTTAAGAAGGAGACTAAGATACGTTATCTTTTCTTCGTGAGCCCAGATTTCCCATAAGAACTATGACGGCTCTGAGTCCTCCCTGAAAGAAATGGTGTAGCAAGATGCCCAGTGTCGGGGCTGCCCCCCCGCCCCCACCAAAAATGTTATCATTGGGTAGAGTCCCACCTTATGAAAGGGTTGGCTAAATGCTACTAATTTCAGGAAAATATCCATGGGCTTATGTGAATCACTCTACTTTCTAAGTAGAATTGCCCTGGAAGGAAAGTGAGTTGGTGTTAACAGCTGCAAATGTTTCCTCCAGACTCTTTTAGTAAACAGGGTCTGACTGAATCACAAACCCACTGGAAAACACTCATCAGGCAGTAGGATGTTTCAGGAGCTGGTACTCTACTTGAAGGGTTTTATGAACCACTTTAAAGTCCCCACTTGTTTTTCCACTCTTGCTCGGATGTCAGTGAGGTCACACACACCCCCCTACAGACCCGGCCACTCACACACTCAGTTGTTACATCATCATTCTTTATGTGGGTTGTGGCATGTGAGGGTCTGTTCTTAATGAAGTTTTGATTCCATTCCCCATGACCAAGTCTGCTTAAACCACTCATCCTGTCATTCTCATCTGCTCTCTCTTTTTTTCCCTCTTCTTTTCTTTAAAAAGAAATTTTTTTCTTTTTTTTTTTCTTTTTTTTGGCTACTTTGCCCCATCCTCTGTCTCCTCTTCCCCCAACTCCCTTCCATTTCTAAATTCCAAAAACAACCATGGTGTAAAGAGTCTGCTGGATTAGGTGAGTGGAAAGGACACACAGGCCACAAGAGAGGGTGGAGGCTTATGGTCTGTAAGTGGGTATCATTTGCATTTTTTTCTTCTCCATATCAAAACTAATCTAAAAAAATCAACAGTGTGATGGTAGTTTTCAACCTTGATTTGCAGCCCAGACTCCTTTGAGAAGTGACATTCATGGCTATGCTCCTAGAAAAAATGTACATATGCTTACCTATATGAATTCTAAGTTCAATTTAGGGGGCCTGTATACCATGTGATATTTCTACTTGCATGGATGGTTCTAGTTTTCTGCCATCCCTTTATGGGTAGAAGTTTAGGTTCAGGATTCAAGAGTTACTCTCTTGGGTGTCATATGTACCACATTATCTGGACAGCCAGGCATCCATAAGTGCGACTAGAAGGAATTTCAACATGTTCTCTTATATATCTTTGTAAAAATAACAATACCAGCACCAAGAATAGCATTCTTTGTCTAATAAATTAAGCAACTGTTTAATTAGGCACTCTGTTTCAAGAGTTGATTTAATAGCAATATCCAAAAGAACAAATGCTAATTGTCTTTCCACCATTCCTTAATAGTTATGTGCCAGGAATTCCCTAGAAATCCAACAGTTAGGACTCAGCATTTTCACTGCTGGGGCTGAGGTTCAATCCCTGGTTGGGGAACTAACATCCCACAGATCACATAGCATAGGAAAAAAACTTACAAGAGCCAACCATTCAAATCCTAATTTTTCTTTTTCCCAACCTTTAAATCTCTAGTCTGATATCAGCAGGGCCCTTTGCAGGATATCAAAGCATTTTGCTATCAAGAACATCTGAATCTGTTTGCCCAAATTTCCAACAACACATCTTAACCACAAGTTAATTGTGCCTTTTCTAGGTGTCTGCATTATTTAAGCAGACAGTTTTATTGTGCTCTTTTGACTTTCTTATCAAATAGAACAATCTGTGCTCTCTTTGAGTCATGGGCTCCTTCTTTTATGAACATTAGCTTATGATTAAGTTCAGTTATTAAGTTCAGCCACATATGGGTCAAAGCTAAATAAGAGAGATTTTAGTCAGGTAACATGGCTTTCAGCATTCATAAATTAAACAGATATTTATTTAAAATCTATTGTATGCCAACCACTGCTATAGGTCCTAGGGAAAAAACAAAGAACAACATGAACTTCTTCCTCTTGAGAAGTTGGCATTATAGTAGGGGGGGAGGCAAAAATAAAAATGACCAAATATACAGTATAACATCAGACAGTGATAAGTGCAGCAAGAAAGGATAGGGTAGGATAGATAGGATCATCAGAGCAGGTTTTTCTGAAAAGATGATTTTTTTGAAATCTTGAATTGAAATTGAAATTGAAATCTTGAATTGAAATCTAAAAGAAAATGAGAGCATGAGCTCTTTAGATACGTAAGAGATTTCCAGAAAGAGATAGAACAATAAATGCAAAAGCTATGAGATGAGAATGCTCCAGATGAGTTATGGACCAGCTGGAGCTGGTGTGGCCATAGTGCAGTGAGTGAAGAGTGGACAGGAGATGGAGTCAGAGAGGTACAAGGGACTGGATTATTCAGAATCTTTGAAGCCATAACAAGAACTATGGATTTTGTCTCTCTTTGAAGAGAGGCAAAATCTGACATAGTTCTAAAAGGTTTCTCTGTCCATTGTATAGATGCAGGAAGATTTGTTGGAAGACAAAAGAAGAGCCAGACCTGTGATGATGGTGGTAGAAATGAAGAGGGTTGGAAGTTCTCAGATGTCAGATATATTTTGAAAGCAGAGCCAACAGGATTTGCTGATAGATTGAATATGGAATATGAAAGGAAGAAAGGAGGCAAGGGTGATTCCAGTGTTTTGGCCTGGGAATTGTAATGTTATTTGCAGAAGAGGCTATAGAATCAAGAATTCATTTGCTAAGTCTAAGATGCCCTTTAGACCTCCAAACAAACACTAATAGTAATTGGTGTAGGCAGTTTGGAGTACAGTGAAGGATTTGGATGGGCGATACCTCTCTGGAGGCATTCCAGAAACCTGTCAAACTGTGCAACTATTAATAGATAAGTGTGGCTGGGAAAGAGGAGAAGTCTGAGTACTGATCCCTGGAATGCTTCAATTTTAGAGGTCTTTAAGAGCAGAAGGTTTCAGTCAAGGAGATTGAGAAAGGGCAGCCAATGAAATAGGAAGAAAACCAAGAGAGTGTATTGTTCTCTGGGCCAAATGAAGACAGTGTTTCAACAGGGGGATGTGAACTTTCTCAGCACTCTTGAGAAAACAAGATGAAGATGGAGAATTGACTTAGTATCATGGGATATACAGTGACCTTGACAAGAGTGGTTCCAGTGAGGGGTAAAGGAGAAGGCCTCTCTGAAGTGAGTACAAGGAAAAATAAGTCAGGAGATGAGAACAGAAGGGATAAATACACATTAAAGAACTTTAGGATAAAGGAAAACAGAGAAATGGGGAATTGGCTGGGGATGGACCTGGGATCAGGGTTTTTAAGATAAGGGAAATTACATGTTGGTATGTCGGGTGTTAATAGAAATAACCCTCAATGTACCATAACAATAACAAAATTGATGATGCAAGGGGTGGCAGAAGTTGAGGGAGCAAACCTTAAAGTGAGTGAGTGCTCCATGAAGAGGCTAGCCTTACCCAAGAGCATAGACCATCCATCCAAGTATGTAGGTTGACTTGGTAGTGAGAACAAATGGAAGTTCTCTTTTGTTTCTTTTCTTTTTTCAGTGAAATGAGAGGCAGGTTCATCAACTGAGGTTGTGGGTTTGAGGAGAGAGGAGGTGTTAAAAAATCAGCAGTAGGATCCCTTACAGTGGTTTGAAAGGTTTGGGTTTTTTTTTTTTTTTTTTGGTTCGGCCTTTTTGAAAAAGAGAAATAAAATAATTTCTCTCCCTCAACATTATTAAATATCTCAATGGCTTTTTGGAGAGATAAGATTCCACAGGCTCACCTTCTCCTTGACTCCACATCCCTCAGACTTTTCTCTTTCCTTCTCACTTGAAACGATGCTTCTGTAACCTTGGTCTCTTGGGCTCACAAGCTCAGAGTTAGTTTCAGTTACCCTCCTTCCTTCATACTATTTATGAGTAAGTCTCCTGTGTATGAACGAGTTAAGTCCCCTATGTGTGATTGAGTTACATTCTGAGAGGGAGCTCGTAAGTCCAATTTGCTCATAAATCCTATTTCTTTGTGGGCCCAACAAAGTTAGCCTAGGTACTCAACTAACACGATCGGCTATATAGTACTGGACTGTACTGGGTTGATGATATTTTTCACACAAATAATGCTTTAAAAAACAAACACATAAAAAGCATTTTGAGAAGGTCATGTACACACTGCTATATTTAAAATGGATAACCAACAAAGTACCTATTGTATAGCACATGGAACTCTGCTCAGTGTTATGTGCCAGCCTGGATGGGAGGGGGTTTGAGGGAGAATGGATACATGTATATGTATGGCTGAGTCCCTTCACTGTTCATCTAAAACTATCACAGCATTGTTAACTGGCTATACCACAATACAAAATTTTTGGTGTTAAAAATAAAAATAAAATTAAAAGAAAACATTTTTAATCTTACAGTATAGTACTTTGGAAAGTACAATAGCACAATATAGTAAACAGTTGGCATATAAGGGCACGTTCACATCTTTGAAAGTTTACAACTTGAATACTCATATGTAGGGGACTTACAGTATCCAGTGGTGGTGAGAAGTCTGGCTGAGGAATTAATCTAGTTACTAGTTATATGACTTTAGGCATGTCATTTAACTTCTCTATGCCTTAGGTACCTTAACTGTAAATCTGAGTTGATAGAATTCCCTCCTAGATCATAGAGACCAAGTATTCTAGTTAGCCTATACAGTTCTATTACAAGACTTCCATCGGGATTTTTTTAAAAATGAAAAAGGAGTGAGATCCTCATGACAGTCCTTATAAACTAGTAAGGATCTGGCAACCCCAGGGATTGGCCAAGAGGAAGAGAGAGATCCTTGTCTGTTTTTCCTGATGCACGGACATAAGTCTCAAAGGCTTCTATGATAAGATACTTCCCTCTCCTTCTTTCCACAGGTGAGGGCTTGACCAGTTCCACAAAGATGATTCTCGGGCAGCTGGGAAGCAGCGTGCTGTTGCCCCTGGCATCTAAGGAGATAAGCAGGAGCATGAATAAGAGCATCCACATCCTTGTCACAATGGCAGAATCACCCAAAGACACTGTCAAGAAGAAAATAGTGTCCCTAGATCTGCGGAAAGGTGACTCTCCACGTCCTCTGGAGGATGGCTATGAGTTTCATCTGGAAAACCTGAGCCTGAGGATCCTGAAGAGCAAAAAGGAGGATGAAGGCTGGTACTTTATGAGCCTGGAGGAAAATGTTTCAGTCCAGCAGTTTAGCCTGCAGCTGAAGCTCTATGGTAATGACGGTGGCTTCCGCGGCCCACAAGGAACGACATAGTGCCTTGCCTAAGAATTCAAGCTTCTCTCAGAAGCAAAGGGTATTCCGAATTGGAAGCAACTTGAAAGACATCTCAGTCTAGGGTTAAACAGTGTTTCAGGGGAAAGTTTTAGAGGTTCACAAATCTTTTGGGGGTCCAAATTGCACATTAGTAGTAGCTGATTAGCACTAGTTACCTTTACCCCCACTTTCTAAAGGAAAGGAGCCCAGCTGCCTGTAAGCTAGAGGGCCTGGAGCCCCAAGAGTCTCAATCTTACAAATAAGATTTTGTTTGAAAAAAGTGGGTTTTTCTTCTGATTTTTAAAAGTTTGAATACCACTGATCAAGCAAAACCTCTCTTTCATAGGCAAGGACACTGAAATCAAGAGATAAGTGGTTTGCATGTGCCTACTCACATCTGCGTAGGTGGTTCACTACACTAGGGGTCCTGGGAGAAGGAGAGCTGAAACTCAGCCCACACACCACTCACCAAGCCCTGCACCCTGGCAGAGGATTGCATCTACCCGATGGAAGAAGCATAGTTTTCTCACTTAAACAAAGGCCCTGGTTACAAAAAAAATCGCCTAGTTGCAGAACTTAAACTAAAACCTAGGTCCATCTGAATCCAAGGCCAGTGTTTTTTGTTTTGTTTTCTTTTTGTTTTTGAGCCTCTTTAACTGCCAGCCCCTCTTGAATGCACTCAGGGTTTATCTCTTCAGTCCCAAAGCTCCTTTGAATTCCCAGGGAACCTGGCAGGCATGTGTGGTGTCCTGCTTCTTCACAGTGATTTTCTTATCTCTGAAGATGGGTCAGGAAGCCCCATACACACATTTCTTTAAAATCCTCAGGTACCACAAGACAGCAATTCCCTCCCCGGGCTTCCCTTGGTATCTTTCCTTCCAATGTCTGCAGAATTCCCACAGCCCTTCACCAACTAACAGGGCTCTCTGATCATTCCAGTAGTGTCCCCAGGGCAAGGCTGCCATAAGCACAAAGGTTACACATAGGTTTTCTAGAACAGTTCACTGTCTTTGTCACATCTTATCATATTTTATGATAAAATTCTCACCTTAAAACATATGTTCTCTGCAAACCATGGTTTTGTCTCAAGTCAAAGAAAGAGTCTGGATTTTGGAATCAGACAGACATACTTTCAGATCTCAGCTCGGCTGTTAAAAGTTGAGTGGCATTATGTAAGACACACTACCTCTCTGGAACTCAGCTTCCTCATCTATAAAACGAGAATAATTAGAACTAGGATAATAATTGTTGAGAAAGTTGTTGAAAAGATTAAAGAACATGATGAGTGTGAAATTCTAGTATTCTGCCTGTCCTATAGTAGTTACTAAATAAATAGGACTTTCCCTTTTACCTTGCCAATTTTATATCATTAGCGTGAAAAAGTTTGGTGAGGCCTGTGGCTATCCCAAGTTCAGGCATCCTAAAGCACTTGCCATACACACACACTCACACACACAGTACAGATGAAATCCCACCACTGAAAAGTCATTCTTTTAGATATAGAAGGTAATAGTTTAACCAAGGACATTAAAACCCACGGGGAAATTAGCTGAGAGCAAACTCCCCAGATGGAATACAGGAGAGCAACCTAAATTAGAAACAAGAGGAATGCAAGGGGAGCCCTAACAGTCTTGGTGGGAGGGAACTAAAAGACAATATTTCTCTTCTCTGCTTTATCCCTGGTCCTGGAAAGGAGCATAGAGGGGTAATAGGGGGAAGGAAGGTGCGAGGTAGTAGGTTCCTACTAGAAATATATTACACCGCAGATCCGTAGGGAGGGAACGATGCTGTTAGTTTGCATTATTTCTAACAAAAAAGGTTAAATCACCGTTCCAGAGGATTCATTTCAGTGATGGCTCCCTTCCTCCCCCTCTTGACAGAGCAGGTCTCCATTCCTCAAATTAAGGTGTTGAACTCCACCCAGGAAGATGGGAACTGCAGTCTCAAGCTGGCCTGCATGGTGGAGAAAGGGGATCATGTGACTTACAACTGGAGCGAGGAAGCAGGCACCCCCCTGCTGAGTCCCGCCAACAGCTCCCACCTCCTGTATCTCACTCTTGGCCCTCAGCATGCCAACAACGTCTACATCTGCACTGTGAGCAACCCCATCAGCAACAGCTCTCAGACCTTCATCCCTTGGTCCAGTTGCAGCTCCAGTCCCCCAGGTAAGTGTCTGAGAGGCAGCTTTTATGCCACATTAATGATATGGACACAGTCCCCACCTGGACCAATGCTCTGCTTCCATAGCCATGGCCTTCACCTTGGGAGCAACACTTTGTATTTTCTCTACGGTTTGTAAAAAGCCTCCCATGTGCATGCAGTGAGTGGCTACTCTTCATAATGAGCAAGATGTTGTTATGCTCCATTCATAGTTGAGAAGACTGGTGAGAAATGATGGAACTAGACCCAGAGTGCTGGGTGAACCCTCCCCTCCCCTCCTGCCTTGGCGCCAACCTACAAGGCTGGCGGGGTAAGGGAGTTAGGCAGCAGGTCCTGACTTCCAAGTTCATGCTCCACAGTGGGACAGTTCTACACCATCAATAAGTATTTATCAGCCACATGTGCTGTAGGAAATTGGCAACAGATATGACATACAACCTCTACTGTCCAGATAATACATGAAACATGTGCTCAGTAATGAGAAGCAAGATGTAACAAAGGGAAACATTTTATGAAATGGACTGTGACTCCCACAGCAGGTCAGAGGGCCAGGGGAGTCAGGTCTCTGACTAAGACCTAGACTGTGAAGCTTGGGAAAGTGGTAAGTCATATAGCATTTGTTGTTGACAAAGCATTTCAACTGTATGATCTCTTCTGTTCCTCACAATGGCCTTATCAGATAAGTGTTGTCATCATCCTCATTTTATTACAGATTAGGAACTTGAAGCTCACAGCCTGTAAGAACGCTTCTCAAGTTTTTTCAGGTTATAAATGGTTCAGTTCAGTTCAGTCGCTCAGTCATGTCTGACTCTTTGCGACCCCGTGAGTCGCAGCACACCAGGCCTCCCTGTCCATCACAAACCCCCGGAGTCTACTCAAACTCATGCCCATCAAGTCGGTGATGCCATCCAGCCATCTCATCCTCTGTCATCCCCTTCTCCTCGTGACCTCAATCCCTCCCAGCATCAGGGTCTATGTTTCCACTGTCTCCCCATCTATTTCCCATGAAGTGATGGGACCAGATGCCATGATCTTAGTTTTCTGAATGTCAAGCTTTAAGCCAACTTTTTCACTCTCCTCTTTCACTTTCATCAAGAGGCTTTTTAGTTTCAGAACCTAAACCTAGATCTTCTGACTAATCTTTCCCTGGAAAGATAAAGTGTCATTGTTCTGTTATCAAAAGGAGGGAAGGGCTGATTAAGTAAGCCCATCTCTCCACTTGAGACTGGAAACAGCCTGGAATCAGACCACTGAGCCTTTTCACTAAGATCTTGTGTCCGTGCCTCAGGTAGGTTCAGGGACTGAAGAACCAGTGTGTTGGACCTGCCAGTCATTACCTATGCCCTGACATTCTTCCTTCTGCACCCACTGAGGGTAAACAGGAATCATTCTAAGGAGACTCTTGCCTACAGTAAACCTGATGTATATTTGGAAGGCTTTTCTAGATAACCAAGGATCCAGGGACAGGAGAGTCCAGCTAGGTCATGCCCTTCAGCATAGCATGTCCAGTCAGCAACTTCCCTGAGGTATTCCAGATGCACTGCTGGGGAAATCCACCTGCCTTCTGCATCTAAGAGCTCCTTGGTGAGACTCACCCACTGCAAGTTGCCTCCCCCAGCCACTCATGGCAGAGTCGGCCACCTGTCCACTCACTTGAGGTGTCTGGCTGCTTGCCTACCTTGCACATGAACCACATTCAGAGTTTCTCCCCCAGCTATTCAGAACATGCTGGTGGGATCAAGAAAGCAGTCTTTCATGAGTGTAGAGTTTACAGAATGTAAATTCTAGGGGATCACAGACCCTTCATCCCTGCCTGACCCTGATCTCAGGTACCTGTACCCTGCAACCCCACTCAGAGTCCCCACAGATGTTGCTGAGGGGGATACCAAAGTGCACCATCACAGAGCTACCACCCCGATTGATTCCAACTACTGTCCTCTTTTGCCTGGTTTTCTACAATAGCCTTCTTCCTGGTCTCCCCACTGCCACCCTTGGCCCCCTGCAGTCGATCCTCTACAAGCAGTCAGAACTAACCTTTGAAAACAATACCATGGGGAACATTTTCTGTTTGGATTACTATTGGATCTCAAGTGTCACAGACCAAGCCTGATATATAGCAGAGATCAAACCCTGAGCCTTTGGAGTGAGAGCACTGTCTCCAAGACCCTAGACCAGAGAGCTAACCCTAGGGAGTATCAAATAGTGAGAACTCACAAAAGGAAACCACTTGAATACAAGACCCAGCATCACCCAACCATCAGTAGCACCCTGTGCAGGACGCCTCATCTAAACAACAAACAAAACAGAAATACAAACCCAGTCATCAGCAGACAAGATTACTGCCTCACTCAGCCTTGCCCATCAGAGGAAAAACAAACAAACAAACAAAAACTCAACACAAATCTCACCCTATATGAAGCTTACACAAACCACTGGACCAAGCTTAGGGAAAGGGAACTCACTCAGTCATGTCTGACTCTTTGCGAACCCATGGACTATAGCCTACCAAGCTTCTCCATCCATGGGATTTTCCAGGCAAGAATGCTGGAGTGGGTTGCCATTTCCTTCTCCAGGGGATCTTCCCGACCCAGGGATCGAACCCAGGTCTCCCCCATTGTAGGCAGACTCTTTTACCATCTGAGCCACCAGGGAAGACCAAACTCAGGAGGGCAAAAATCAAAAGGAAGAAAGAATTCAACCTTCTTCAAGGAAAGAATTCAACTTTCCTTGACGCCTAGGAAAAGGAAACCTCAAACACAGTAAGTTAAAAGAAAATAATGAAAAGGCAGAGAAATACTACACAAATGAAGGGACACACTAGAAACACAGAAGTCCAAATAAATGAAGAGGAAATAGGCAAACTACCTGAAAAAGAATTCAGAATAGTGATAGTAAAGTTGATCAAAAACCTTGAAAACAAAATGGAGAAAATGCAAGAATCAATTAACAAAAACCTAGAAGAATCAAAGAATAAACCTACAGAGACAAACAACACAATTACTGAAATTAAAAATACTCTAAAAGGAATCAATAGCAGAACATCTGAAGCAGAAGAACGAATCAGTGAGCTGGAAGATAAAATGGTAGAAATAACTTCTGAAGAGCAGAATAAAGTAAAAAGAATGAAAAGAACTGAGGACAATCTCAGAGACCTCTGGGACAATATCAAATGCTCCAACAATCTAATTATAGGGATCCCAGAAGAAGAAGAGAAAAAGAAAGGGTATGAGAAAATTTTTGAAGAGATTAGAGTTGAAAATTTCCCCAACATGGAAAAGAGGCACAGAGTCCCATACAGGATAAACCCAAGGAGAAACAATGCCAAGACACATACTAATCAAACTAACAAAGACTAAACACAAAGAAAGAATATTAAAAGCAGCGAGGGAGAAGCAACAGGTATCATACAAGGGAAACCCCATACACTTAACAGCTGATCTTTCTGCAGAAACTCTGCAGGCCAAAAGGGAATGGCAGGATATATTTAAAGTACTGAAAGGGAAAAATCTACAACCAAGATTACTGTATCTGACAAGGATCTTATTCAAAATTGATGGAGAAATAAAAAGCTTTTCAGACAAGCAAAAGTTAAGAGAATTCAGTACCACCAAACCAGCTTTACAACAAATGTTAAAGGGACCTATATAGTCAAGAAATACAAGGGAAGAAAAAAGATCTACAAAATCAACCCCAAACAATTAAGAAAATAGCAATAGGAACATAAATGTCAATAATTACTTTAAATGTAAATGGATTAAATGCTCCAACAAAAACACACAGAAAGTAAACTCTAGATCCAGTGTTACCCTTCTTACTCACAAAGATAAGCCACTTAACCTAAGACTCAGATTCTTTATCTAAAATAATACCTGAAAGTTTTTCTTGAGTATGTGTCAATTATGTTAACTCTCATTTAATCCTCACAGCAACCAAATAGTATTAATATCCCCACCTTACAGATGAGGAAACAAAGATATGCAAAAGTCATACACCGAGCAAGTGGCAGAGTTGAGTTGTCTGATCTTGAAATCCTCATGGGTACTATCGGAATAGATAATACACTTTTAAAATGCCTTACAAATCATAATAAATATGTTTGCTTTTCCTTTGTGGCTGAGAAAGTGGTAGCCCTCACCTCAGCACAACCTTCTCTGGTCATAGCAACCCCCTTAGAGCACCAAATGTTTTACCCTGACCCATCTCAGAAAAGAAGTATAATTCTCTTCAAGTTCCTCAGTATGGTTTAACAAGAATTTACCTAATGCATCTCAAAGTCTTGGCCATAAAGCTTCTGCTAGAGGCACTTAGCTCAGGACATTCTTAAAAAAACATGTAAAGTCACATGTAAAGTGACTTCTCTGGTGGTCCAGTGGTTAAGACTGCACTTCCACTGAAGGGGGCATGTAGCTCAGAGGATAAAGCATCTGCCTACAGTGCGGGAGACCCAGGTTTGATCCCTGGATCAGGAAGATTTCCCTGGAGAAAGAGATGGCAACCCTCTCCAGTACCCTTGCCTGGAAAATCCCATGGACAGAGGAGCCTGGTAGGGGGCTTCTCCATGGGGTAGTCCACAGGGTCACAAAGAGTTGGACACGACTGACCGACTTCACTTTCTTTCTTTCTAGGGAACTAAGATCACACATGCCACATGACATGGCCAAAAAATAAAATAAAAAATTGAATATAAAATTTTAAAAAGGGAAGAAAAAAGAAACATGTAAAGATGTTTGAGTGGACCATGTAAACCACTTTGAGGACTGAGTATGCACTAGTGTGACCCGATTTACTGGATATGGAGCAGGCTTTCATGAGATGGGAGGGACAAGAAGTGGCAGAAACATGGAACCACGGGAAAACACTGTCAGGACCTCAACTCAGGTGTTAAGGCAGCTACTCAGCAGCGATTGCACTTTCTTGGACCTCTGTTTCATTACATGTAAACTGAAAAGGGCGAACTCCTGAAGTTCTTTCCAGAGTAAGTAGTCTATAAGTCCATTTGTATGTA